GGGGAAGCCCCTTGATATACATTGAATTATGTCAAGTGCGGTCCATCTGGGCAGAAAACATCCAGTGGAAGCACCTTGCATAATAGTTTTCATGCTATATTGTGTATATAATATTCAGCATAACAACGATAGCCCTCTTATCATTGAATGAGTACATACAGCTATGAGATTGTGTTATTGTACAAAACCCCCTTGTGAGGAAACCTCCATGGTTCACCACTCCAATGACTGGGAACTGGAAGTTGCAAGGACCCCCATGCTCCACTAGAAGAAAGAGTGGGGGGAGATGCATTGGGAGGGCTGGAGGAACAACCCACCAGAGACAGTGAAATGAGTGTCTAGGTTTCCCTATTTCAAAAAGCAGAATAACCCAGACTGTAAGAATCATAGGTCAGTAGGGATGGGCAAAAATCCCTATCTGCTCTACTCAGTGACAGTCCTCAGGATATATATATATAGATAAATAGATATTGAATTAAAAAAAAGTGATAAAGAGATATAGATACATCACTGGAAAAGCATCCAGTGGTCTTACAGTAATACCCCATCTCCACAGTAAGCATTGGAGAAGTTCAGAGAAAGAGTGACGAAAGTTTCGGGAGTTGTCCACATAACAGCCTGAATGATCCCCTACAAATGATGGCAGAGTCGAGCGGCTAAAGACAGAATCAGATGATGAATTAGGTGTGAAGAAACAATATGTAGATGGCGACCAGCCAGGAACACATCAAAATATGCCAGGTGTAGGAGTTGATGAACCCAACCCATGAGTGTAATAAGAGAAAGATCAGGGGAAACAGGAATGCCATGGAACAGTGAGACAGGAATGATAACAACAAAAGGAAACAGTATGAGCTAAACAATAGAGTAGGGAACAAAATGGACAAAGAACCTGATCCGGAAAACAAATGGAAATACAGGTGGGAAAAGGAAGGGAAGGAAAGAGGAGAAAAGGCAAAACAACCTCCTCAGGCAGACGAAGTCTAGGGAAGGAATGTCGAATCTGGATAACGAAAAGCACATGAGAAATGGTAAAGGATGGCATAAAAATTGGAATGATGAAGACCGCATGCCAGGAGGGGGAGGATTGAAGTCATGAGAGAAATATCTTACAAGGAACAAATTGCAAGGAGTTCAAAGGGAGAACTGGACAGGATAGAAAGAACAACATGGAGATCCCAATCTAGCAGAACAAAAGAAATGTGTCAGATGCACCAGATGAAAGAAATGAAACAACCTGGGGAAGAGAAATTTTCTGGAAGAGGGAATAAGGAGGATGTTTGACAGGGCAGCTCTATAAAGAGCAACAGTGGAAACAGACAAACCCTGAACAAACAACTGGATGAAGAGCTGGGACAGGTGAGGAACAGAAGTACAGGAGGGACAGAAGCCCTGGGAAAAAGACCAAAAGACTGAAGCAAGACTTATGCTTCTGGTACATAGACAAAGAGGAAGGGTGAAAAGTGTAGGCAATGAAATATGTGACTGAGGCACTGGACAAGACACACAAAAAGATAGAACATGATGACATCTGGATGAAAAACGACCAATCATGGTGGACAGAGGAGCCAACAAGACAGGGAAAGGTGGAGGGTCTGTTGCTCCATGAAGGGCCAAAGAAGAGGGAACTATGTAGGAGCCAGCCAATCCAGAGCAACCAACAGAACAGAAGAAGAAGGGGGTCTAGATACAGGAAAAGACCCAGAAGAGGAGGAGTCTGAATGGAGGAGGACATATAGGGGCGAGCCCCTGAGCCAATGCACGTGACCAGACAAAAGTCACTCTGAAAGATGGAGTGTGGAGATGT